AAGATGGCAGGAAAAAAAATCAAGGACAAATTTAGAACAAAAAACTAGAGCAAAATAAACAAGATGGGTGAGGAAGATGATTTGAAGAAGTTATCAAAGTTTCAAGGAGGAGAGAAGGAAGAGAAAAAAAATGAAGATTGAAAGAAGAAAAGAAAGAGGAAAAGAAGCTGAAAACCAATGACAGGGGGGTATTCTCGGCAAAGTGTGAGAGTGGGAGTGAGAGAGACATCGCTATATGTAGGTAGCGGAGTAGTTTAAAGGCAGAGAATATGAGAGGAAAGCCCTATCAAATGAAATAGGGGTTAGGAATAAGAAAAAGAAAAAGAAAGAAGAAAAAGAAAAGATTTCATGGGGGAGAGAAGATATCATGAACCAAGCAAATTTCTCTCTTGTTATAAGGGAGAAAATGGGAAAGATGTTGTCGAAGTCGAAGCACACACACAAAGACACACGAAGACACATGAGCACACGTCTGCTGGAATTGGGAAAAAGTTAAGGGCAAGGGATGACTGAGATTTTCTTAAAGAAAAAAAAGAGACGAAGACGAAGAAAGATATTTAACAAAACGACCAAATTTTTTCCTTTCTTTTTTTCTTTTTTCTTTTCTTTTCTTTTCCCCTCTCTCTTCTAATTTTCTTTTCCCCAGTGTTTTCATACCAGCTTGTAGTTTATGAGGGTCTGTTCCAAAAATCTAAGCTAGCCACTACATCCTCTCCTGCTTCGTCTTCATATGCATAGATAATCTGATGAACGGTGGTTAGCTAAGTTCCCATATAGCGGTACTACATAAGATTAACAAGGGGTTTAAAAAATAACAAAACAGATATCACAACCATACCTCTCTCGTCGAAGAATGCAACATCCGAATATTCCGCCCCGTCATAACATGAATCAGCTCACTGCTCTCAATATGCCTAATTTCAATAAAGCTTGACTCAAACGCCAGAATATACGGATACGACAGCGCGAAGGCCATTGGGTTTCCTTCCCACGATATTCTCCAGTCCGGCTGGGCGCGCCAGCCATTGCGGTTCACGAAGAAGGAGAAGTCACTGTAGTTGAGTAAGAACTCTCCGTTCATGCGCTCGATATGGATTGGTTTCACGTTTTCTTTCCGCGCGACGAAGTCGAGGGAGGTATCGGCTTGGTCGAGGAGAGATTGTCGTTCAGTGGTTTCGAGGCTGACCACTTCGAAACCGCGGGAGCAGCCTACGCAGAGGGTTGCGCGGAGGAAGTGGACGGAGGAGGATTCGGCAGGGATGTAGAATTCCTGGCAGGGGTAGGGGAATAATATGTTAGTTATTGAAATGAATGCATCGAGGAGGAGAGGAGAAATAATAACAATAATAACAATAATAATAATCTCACCTTGAAGGGTTTAAAGGCATCCTGACCACTCTGGAACATCTTGCTCAACGGCTTCTTCTTCCCCTTCGCTAGATTCTCCACAGGTTCAAACACCTTGATCGTTGTCGACAATGCAGAAGTCTTGACAGAGCAGACAAGGTGACGCCCAAGCCCAATCCCCGATTTGAAGAAGTTGGTATGGCCCTGGATCTTCTTTGGTCTACGCACTAATGGATTCTGGTTTTCAGTTGTGTCCAGAGCTTCCATCGAATAGGAGCTTAGAGTTTTGTTGGATAGGACCAGGAGTAACTGATACTCTTCCAGGGCATCAATCTGGGTGACACCGGTTGCATCGAGGACACGCCTGGGTTTAGCAGACTTATCCTTTGGCCATCGTTCTGACAAGTATATGCCACTATCCGTGCCGTAGACCAGTTTTCGCCCACCATCTTCAATACGAAATTATCAGTTAACATGGGCTTCATTTTAACAACCAAAATAAATTCAAAACAACTTGTTATGCTTACCAATAGGCACCAAACAGTTAACCCTGTTGACAGAGGTGAAAAACTTTTCACAGAGAATAGTCTTGGAATAAAAATTGCTGTTCCTCTCTCTCAACTTCCTCTGTTGTTCCTCGACAAGCTCAATGAATTTCCTCCGCTGCGTTGCCGAAGTCGCATACAGCGTCTGATCGTAACCTCCCTTACCAAGATGGCGGAACGTAATTGGGAAACCGTCCTTGGAGGCAGGGACATTTGTAGCAGTTCTGGCACCGGGGATGAGGTTCGAAGAGGGGCGTTTGGGAATGCCTAGCCTGGGGATAACCTCTTCCATCTGAGTAATAACGAGGAGTTCGAGAGGGATAGGTTTTCTGTACACTCTGTATTCTTCTCGTTTGTTGACTGCCTTAATCCTAACCAGCAAAACAGCATGGTCAAATAGGTATGCAGTAACCTCAGCAGAGTCTGTCGGACCCTTCTTGAAAGCCATTTTGGTCAACATTACCCGGTTTTCCTCCGTGAGCTTCAGGTCAACATAGTCTCCTGGGGAAAATTTCAAGGCCATGTTTAGTTGTACAAGGTTGAAGTGATTTTCCGCCTTGCCACTCTCCGTGTTGACACGCGATAGGAAATCTCGAATGATGGCAATCGCTTTCGGAATATCCTTTTTGTCGGGATTGTCATCCGCAGTGTTCTTCACTACCTGTTCTAGCAGCAGTGGGTACCTCGCCAATCGAGTAGTTGGTTTGGTAAGGTAACCATTCAGCTCAAGTTTCCTAGATTCCTTTAGGCGTTCAGTCTCTTCAACAAACTTGGAAAATGCCGGATTCGAAGCTCGTTCCTTTTCAAACTCATATTTCCCGTACAACTGATTCGCACCGTATTTGATGAAGGGATCGAAGCGTGGCACGAATTGCAGGAAAATATCTCCGACGGTCTTTACTACGCTGGCCTCCTTTTGCCTTGCATTCAGAGCTTCTGACAGCCTAGAATTAACGGCAAGAACTTCCAAACAGTTCGAGAATACGGTTCGAATAAACTTTTCTCTGCGGTGTTCGGGGACGGGCGAAAGATTAGTATTGTTAGCAGACCGCAAGGGCCTCATCCAAAAGTCCCTCAAGTACTCTAGGTCCTTGACAAAGTCACGTTCAGTATACATGATCTCGAAGATGATCTCCTGTCGTTTCTTCTCCCGGTCGTCAATGCTATCAGCAACTTCTTTAGGAACCATGTTAATCCAAAGTTTCTGATCATCGTTGTCATCGTTGTCATGCAAGCTTCCCTTGGACGCCGATGACCTTAGACCTGGTTGAGGCTTAAGGTTCAACCGTGCCTGTTGCTCAAGGCGTCTTGGACAGGCAATGGAATAACACAGTTTATCTCTGGTACAGGTTGGCGAGTAGCACTCTGTGAGCAGGGTGAAAACACCGTTAACCTCAGACACTGGATCTTCTTCACCCATTGTTTCCTTAAACTGGTACAACTCTCCTGCAGCATCTCTTAGCCGATGGTCATATGTGACGTCGTGGAAGAACTTCTGAGCATCTAACGCACGCCCCAAAAGCAAGGCAAGGTTGCGATCAGTCGTTTTAATAATGTAGGATATTAAATCAACCGCTTCAGCACCCGTGAAAGCGTTAGTGTATGCTAGATCGTTCTTGAGCCGTTCTCCAACCGAGATCCTTTCTCTAAACACTGTAGCCACGCGGGAGAGCAAGGCGGGATAGACGAGAGGAGTTCTGCGGCTGTGGTGTGGAGTGGAGTGAGACAGAGACGGGAATTGGCTTTGCTGCTTAGGTGCAAAGCAGGCATTAGTCTGTAGACTACTAGTTCGATCTGGAGTGACGGTTGATGCCATTGAAAAGGTTCGAGAGTTTTGCGATGCTTCACTTGGGCGTCTTCCTCTAGCATGTGGATCCGGCACAGAGGCAATCGGGGGATGTTGCATGGGTTGCTCTAAGATAGGTTGCTCCGTAAGTGGCAGCTCTATCCGTTCTCTTTCCATACCCGACTCTCGACGTCTGCTCGGAACAATCCGGCCAGAATTGATTGTCTGGACATGGTTATGATTCGAATTATAGGAACTCATGGACATAGACCGTTCATTATCATGCCTCTCCGGGACGATCCGACCTTGTGGTGTCATGGACCCTGCATGATGGTATGGCTGCTGTCGGAACGCGTTTGCCGATGTATGGTTGAAGTTGCTTGGGGGAGGTTGTTGGTACATCGGCGGGCCACCCATTCTAGCCATGGAGCGGGACCTATACTGATCCGAGTTCAAAGCTGGGGGAGGGGAAGGGCGACCTGGGCCCTTGTTAGGATAAAGCGGTTGCATTGGGCCGGGTCTTGGATCCAGCCGCTGGGGTTGAGGATATTGAGGGCGACCAGGGTAAGGGCGAGGAAGATTTTGAGGCGGTGGTTGGGAATGGTAGGAGGGAACATTTGGGTGCCATTGCTGGGGGGGGTTCTGATAACTATTCCGGGGGGGAGGACCGTATCCGTTGGAGGATTGACGCGTGGGCAATGGCGCTTGGTGGGGAGGGCCGGCTCGAGGATGCATATAGGGTTCAGCATTATGGGAGGACATGGATTGTGTCCGATCCTGAGCGAATGTAGGAGTCTGCGAAGTCATTGTCTGCGAACGGCCCGAAGGGTTCCCTCCAAAAATCTCCGAGAAAGCGGCATCCCGCTGGAACGAGGATGAATGCCCATAGGGGTTTGGTCGGTAATTACGACCTTGCTGAGCACCTAAATCCGCCATGGCCCCAGTACCACTAGCCTTCTTCGTTTCAAAAAGAAGAAAAAGAAAAAGAAAAAAAGAAGAAAATAAAAGAAGAAGGACAGGGATACGGCAGGAGAAGGGAACTAGGACGAGACTGAGGAGGACAAGGCACACACGGAGAGTCCCGAGACGGAGTTTAACTAGGGGGAAGATCAGAGATCCAATATTGACGTGGACACGGGGAGAGGGGATAAAGGAGTCCTCCCAGAAGTCAGGACGAGGCAGAGACCGAAGACAAATATATACCTAGTTAAATATACTTATGTGCGTGTTATATGCGAAGTGGGAGGGGAGAAAGGGTAGGGGAACAGAGGTGGGACGCAACCACAGCAAAAAACCGAGAGGGTCATAGCCCACACACCCACATGGCTGGCAGGAACCGCAAAGTGAAAGAAAGAATGACAGAGCTCACAGAGCAATTAGGAATCCAAGACAGCGATGAGGGTGAGAAGGGTAGAGAGAAGAAGGGTAGAAGAGAGGATGGGAGGGAAGAAGAAGGGTATGTTGAGAGGAGGAAGAGGAAGAAAAGTGGTGAGTGATGGGATATGCGATGTCACCGGCCCCGACGGAGTGAGGTTGGAGTTGGCTGGAGGTTGGAGCTGACCAAAGGACAGGCGGGCCTTGGCACTGACCTTGGCACTTGAGCTGAGTAACAGTCAAGCCACACTACAGCCACAGTAGATTTATATAATATATATATACATGCAATTTGATAGAAAATTCAAATAATTATAGATTAAATATTTTTTATAATTTAAAATAATAATATAAAATTATTACTTATATTTATAATTAAAAATTATATTATTTATGATATTATAAATATATATAAATATTAATAATTATATAATATAAATTATATATAATTTTAATTAATATATTAAATTAATATAAAAAATAATTATTAATTAAAATATTATTGACTATATTATAAAACTATTATTAATATTATATATTTTCATAATTAATATAAAATATTTAATAATTAATTAAAAATATAAATTAAATATATATAAAAAATTAATTTTAATAATAATTTTTTTTATTTTTATTATTTATTATTTTTTATATTAAATTTTAAAATTAAATTTTATTTAATATTAATTAATATTTTTTAATAATTTTTGAAAAATAAAATATTAATTAATATATAGATATAAATTAATAGTTAAAATTTTAATTTTTCTCAGATATAAATAATCATATAAATCAGTTATTAATTTAATAAATAATATTCACAGTATCTGCTAGCAATATGAAAGATTATAGAGCAAAATTCAAAGCTACAAAAAATTATTCAAAAGAGTAATTAAATTAAACAATATATTATAGGGATTAACCGCCTTAAAACGAAAGTTTAAAGGGCGAAAGACTCATATATTGAGAACAGGAAAATGTCTTCTCTACGAGAACAGGAAATAAGTCTGAGAAGAGTTCAATGACGAGCAAGCTGTGATAACATTAAATGGCAGCTCTCTGATGAGGTGTTGGATGAAAAGGCAACAGGACGCGCTGCAGGAGGAACAGATGTTCCCAGCACCGAACTATCTTCTCTCAGAAACCCCTGACATGGCTGACATTTAGATCAGTGGAGGAAGACTTAAGGCGACAAGGATGCCGGTGTTGATGCTGTTCAGATGTGTCCCCGAGGCCGTGCCGGGGTAGGAGACCGAAGGCCCCCACCTCCGCCCACCCAGTCACCCGGCCCACACCGCCGACAGGAACAATACGCACAACGAGGTTTCCCCTGAGGAGTGGGATGATGCGCTCCGTGCTTCCGAGAAGCACATCCGCCACATGAAGAAGCAGCCTCCAGGGTGTTTTGAGTGTTTCGCGCATTCCAGGTCGGATCATCAGGTCACCAGCTCATTCATCACTATTCGCGGCCCGAGGGCCTGGGCAGGTATTTCCGGGATGATCATCTCCAGCATCTCAAGGACCGGGAGCCCACGAGGTGCAGCGGGTGCGAGATCAAACTGGAACACAAGGCGCACGTGCAGAGCCATGTTAAAAATGGTTTACTACGTGCATTACATAGGCCGCAAGGGAGGGAGGATCTGTGAGCGGTTGTATTGACTTGGATTTTTTTCTTTTTGTTCATGTATACTACTAAGATTTGCATATAAAATGGTTGGTTATGAAAGGTGGCTACAGATATCGGAAATGCTCTGCTCGGTAGAATACAATTATTATAGCCTCAGATATGGGGTATGAAACGCGACCGTTCTGTCTTGCTACAGCGGCAACGAATGTGGTTAGAATCTTCAGATGAGTTCCCATGATTCCTCGACGTCCTTCAAACTCAAAAGCTCAGTGCAACCAACACCTTAACGTGCAGTCTCTGAGATCACTCCATACTGCCTGGGACCTTTGTCCCATCCTTGGTCATCAGTGTCCCATAAACTTGGAAGTGTTCACATGAAAGTTGATTTCGGGAAATACCGTAGCACATATAGTCTAATATTCAAAGTCGGGCTTATCTGCTCCCAATAAACCCCCCTATATGTAGCATGTAAGGGACTACTCAACTAAGAAGACAAGGAAATTAAGATACAAATCAGGAGAAACACGTAGAAATGGCATACAAGCGTGAGAGATCAATGGAGATATAGAGAAGAATTAATGCCTATAGAGTGACGAGACGCTAAGCTCATGCAATGTAATTAAATAGGTTCAAAGAGGGATAGATATAGTAGGAGCTGCATTCTGCATATCCCGAACAGAGCCCCTAGGGGTTGTTAGTAAATGAATCCAAATCAATCAATAATTCAAGGTCACCGGCTCATCGGAGATCAACGGGTCCAAAAATAGTTGTAGGGATCGAAACAAGCTGTCAGGTTCGGCCATCAATCGAGTGCCCAGATAACGGGTAAAGCCCCAACGAAGCAAGAGGATAAATTAGCTCTGCCCAGCATAGCCACTAGGCTAATAAGGGGACGGATTAATAATAATCATCAGCGGAGTAATAATCCTCCTGTTGATGTTGTTCTCTCTCTAATAAGTGGCCTCTGATTGGCGATACGATCGGGGTCTGGGGTCAGTTGATTTGTCCAGTCTCTCTCACTCTTATAACAATGCAGGCATTGTTCTCTTGGTGGTGAGGATGATTATTATTATGTGGAGGGGTGGGGGATTCAAGCACATGATGACATGTTGTTACTCTATTGTTTTCAGTCAACAAAATGTTTTTATTCTGCTATCCTTGTGATTTTGAAATGAAGATTTGTTTTATTGATGTATATAAGCTCAGTATATGAGAGACAATTCACAAGAAGTATGAGATACAGCAACAACAGTGTCAGTTATGAAGAAGAGAGTTAACAGAGCAAGATATACACACAAGAGCCACAATCAATCAATGAAAAGTTACTAACTAATGATGTGGTGAGCAAGGCAATGTCACAAAATGATAGCACATTAAATACAGATTATTTTAATGACTAGTTATCACAAGCAGCAACAGAATTAGTGCAAATATTGGTAGATGACTTTGAGACTAAGAATGAAGTGACATATTACTTTTTCTTTTAGATTTTCATTGATTTCTAATGGCTCTTTTAATTTTTACTGATTTTGAAAGTTACATTTCTAGTAAGTCAAGTGGGTTTGACATCTCATTTATCCTCTTATATTCATGCCGCATGGCGTATAGTGCAGAGGCCTGCAATTGGAATGGGAAAAGACTATAAATAATAAGTAGTTTGACAATATGACCGTAGCTATCTAATATATATATATATATGGCCTAGTGTATGTCTATGAAATATTTCATTGACTATGTGATGCCTCCTATTCAAAAGTAGTCACATTGAGGTGTTGATTTCAAAATAGGTTGCAAAGACCTCTTATTCTTTTTGAGATGCCAAAATTTATATGTAAGATATCCATTCATAGCCGACATGGTTGAACACATGTAAAATGTAGTGCCCTATAAGTCTCCAGATTACCAACTTTCAAGTTCCCACTCTCCTCTTGATGATTTTCTTCCACATATTGACATTGGCGCCGTAAGCCGCTGTGGGAGTCGAAGCGGATGCCAAAACACTTCAACTCCTCACCTCTTCGCCTGAAGCATAAAAAAAATATGAGGAGGGAGAATCAAGCTGAAAATGCTATGAATAGTCTTGATGATGCTGTTAAGGATTTTTTATAAAAGAGGAGAAAGATGGTAGTGGAGACAGGAAGGAAAGCGAAAGTAAAGGAAAAACAAAGAGTATAGTAGCTAGTGAGATGGCAAGTAAGAAGGTTGGATGTGAAGATGTGTATATCTTACTCACGGGTCTTCAAATTCTTGTTGAAGATGAATGTCATACTTTTCCTTATCTGACACTTTGCGGTATGCCAGCAGCGGCCCGTCTTTCGCCCAGTAAAAAAGCATAATTGATATAAAATCATCGTCAGAATGCTTGAAAAATATGGGCTTGATCCTATCATAAAAGAAATTGTGGAGACCTGGAGGACTAGAAAGTGCCAATGTATACCAAAATGTGCCAGTATTCCAGGAGCGGCTCATGACCTTAGACAGTTGTGGCATGGTGTTTTTGACAACACTGTCCCGCATTTGTGTCTCTTCTTCAGCAGCTAGAATATTCATAAACTCTTTTCTAGCTTCATCATAATTGTCTGGGTCTACTTCATCCATCCGCTTGCCTGACAACCAGTATGGGGGTGCAATCATCTCAATTGGATGAGAGCAAGCCCACTCCAGATCAATTAGACATGTGATATGCCAGTCTTCATCAACCAAGATATTGCTCTGGTGAAGATCGGTAAAGTGGAAAATAAAAGGGCCGCGGCGGAGATCTCGCTGAAAAAAAATTGGAAATGTGGATCGCATGGCTGTCAGAGCAGCCATTTGAGAAATAGTATCACCAAGACTCTTTACTGCATTTGGCTGGTTTTTCAGGCGGCTATCATGAAATGCAAGGGTGTCCACGATGTAAGAGTCAGTCGTGGAGTAGGTATATTCTCGGGGTATGTGAGTCGGAATTTCATCATTCTCAAGTTCTGCAATCTCGACTGACAATGGTCGATTTGCCAAATGCAGAAACCCGTCATCATCAATAATAAAGGAGCCGATCTGGGGTAATGGTATTCGACTCATGCTTAGCAAGATGCGAGACAGATCACGAAAGAAGTTAGTACGCAGCTTGACATCATGCTGATTTTTCTCAAACCATGTGCTTGAGAGCATCCTCCCCTGCGTTTTTTCGATGTATTCAATTACCAGATAACCAGCACCAATCGCATTGTGGGCTCCTCCTTGATGACGGATGTAGTAGGAAGGAACTGGAAATCTCAACCACGAGAGCAATCGACGGCGGATGGACTGAAAACATCGGGATATGAAGGGTAGATGCTCGAGTCGCGTGAACTGGACCAGGTCAGATAGTCAACACTTGAATAGAATGTAGTGAGAGAACGTACAGTTTCGCCTGTAGACATGGCAAAACCATACATGTGCGGAATTGGTACATCTGGACAGTTTTCTTGTAGCCATGCATAGGTTCCAGCTTCACAACGGACTTTTTCATCACCATTTCCGGGTCGAAAGGCTTCCCCAATACGATATGGAAGAGGGAGTCGAAGAAGCACATGCCGGCTTCGTTGTTGTTTCTTCCGTTTCCGGGTCTCCTCTTCGATTGTGACTGGTACACAGACGTTGAAGCTTCCATGGAACCAGTCCTCAACTTCAGCCACGCGACACGAGTCGACTGATCTTACACCTAGTCCTAGATGATGAGCGACAACGGATTTAATCCAATCGCGGTTGTCATTTAGCTGATTGAAGAAGCGGGTTTGTTGGTCATAGTAGCCTAGTCGAAGCAGGATATTGACCTCGCGTCCCTTCGCGCTGGAGTACGTGATTTCCTCGCGAAGTAGACGGCGCGTTCTCGGCATGGTGAAATAACGAAGACTTCCAAATGTTAACTAACTAATCAATACATTGCTGGGTCTCGTGCAAGGATGATTCCGTCGTCCATTGACTACACATGGGACCGGACAGTTAAACAGTCAGTTCGACAAGATTGAGATGGAGGATTTAGTGCTGTATTTGAGAGGCCTAATAGGGGCAACCCATAGCGGTGGCTGGCTGCTGGCTGGTCAACGGAATAATGATATTCCACACCATGTGTCCGTCCCCTCTCCTATGCCTGCGTCCAGCTAGCTGCATCGTGTAGCCGAGACGCGTTTGTGCATCCTTGGTATAAATATCCTGGCCTTTGGATTTTATTAACTCAACCTTGTCGCTGAGGGCAATTATACGTTCTCCCTACAAAGCTATTCTCTGCTTCTCTTTCCTCCTATAAGGCTCAGCCTTTCCCCCCAAGCCTAGAATCATGAATTGATAAAAGTCTAACCCCCTTGTCATCGTGGAATGAGACAGTGATGACTTCCTTCATGGCAGAAGGATCTCTTGAGGAACGACGCGGCCGAGAGCCTCTGGAGTGCGAGTCAGATCTCAAATATTCGGAAATGGAGTTTTGTCACGGAACGCAATGAATTTGCGCTTCAGTGGCAACAGGCAGTTAACAGGAAGTCCATATCAGCATCTCCAAATCAGACAAGGTCTACAGCCTTTTCACCCGTTGCTCGATTGCCTTACTAGCAACCTCCACTGTATTGCCAAAGCAGCGTCAATTCTCGAACTTGTCAAGCCCAATTCCAGCATATCTCATGCCAACGGCAGCCGTAGGACGAAACATGTTGCGAGTGAATCTTGCGGTAGTGAAAGAGCCAATGAAAGGATTCGAACAAGTTATGCACGAAGATCAAGAGGATAGAGTCTTTGAGTTCAGAAGAAGAAGAATTGAGATCCTAGGGGTATGAGCAATCTCTTATATCCATCTCAGATGCTCATGGCCCTCTTGGGTTCGAGGCAGATCAAGATCGGATGAAGCGGTCAGTCCTCGCGATAAAAACCACCCAGACCGTCATGAGTCACAGAGGAAATCAAGGCAATGATTTCATGATCACACAAGAATGAAAGGTAACATAACAAAGGCCACTGGTGGATCCGAGGAGCATCATATGCATGAGCCGCAAGACAGCGGGGTTCTCAAACTTGATGCGGCTATAAACTTGTCTGTTGTTCAGAGAGCACCCATAATGTAGCAAATTCTGCCGGCGATCCCGGGGTGGTTGGTGTAAAAAACACCGGGAACGCATCGCACTAATTTTTGAAACATGTTTTAATGTTTCGGGCGTCAAATCTCAAGTGTTGACAGTCCGCAACTCCGTTCTTGGTGGTATTACTTAATGCATAATCTTAACCTAAGCGATCACCGAGTTGGGCCACTTCCCCACCCTTCATTCAAGATATCTTCAAATTATATCACCAATAGGTCTTCTTTTTAGTGGAATATGCTAGTCAAAGTGGGCCGGAGGGGAGAGCAATCAGGGTCCCACCATAGTTTCTGTCGTGCTTCCAACAACTAATCTGTGATGGCAGCCCTTTTTGGTGTATAGATTTCAGTTGTGGGGCAAGACTACTTTCCTTTGCCCATATCTTTTTGTCTATCTCATCGTTTGTTCTCTTTGTTCCCCTTTGTTCTCCTTTGTTTGATTTCTAGGTTAGGTTTCTTCATTTCGATAGGCCCTTAACTTTTTCTTCGTCGTCATTATTATTATCCTGGTCGGCACCCATATTTCCAGGACAGGACTGAGGAATTCCAGTTCAGACTTGCCCTGGGATATTTCCCCAAACCATATTCTCAAAAACACGCTCAGATCTCTCCTTTTTGATTCTCGCGACGCCCGCTTGATTGGACCCATCTTGCCCGGGCGATGTCGAACGAGAACCACGGCATACAAAAGGGTCCTGCCCGCTCTACTGCTGACAGGTGCACCGACATTGCGAGTCAGCAGGATGTTTGTAATAGAGACTCACAATCGGGTAAATAGGAAATGAGAGCGTTTTGACAGCCTTTTAAAAGCCCAAGGTGACGTAGTACAGGACCCAGCAGATAAAACGAGGGAGGACTGGCATGAGTGGAATACGTGAAACATCCTGGACGCTCTTTGTTGCGAATTTTCCTAACTTGGGGTTTTTTTTTTCTTTTTCTTTCCCTTAATTTCTTAGCTTCCGTGTCAAAATAGTAGGACTCAATCATGGTGCAAACCATATGAATGATCCAAGCTTATCTCCTGAGTGCGTCCTTCTGCTTCATGCACACAATCGGTTGACAGCGGGTGGTTAGTGAACGGTGCCAAAAATGCCTCGCGGCCCAGACGAGAGAGATGTCCGCGCGTTTTTGGAGTCGCCGAGGGTGCCGCGCTTTGCATATCGATTATGCTATTTGCTATATAATGAGTTATCTTTGTATCTCGTTTGTTTGCTCTTCTCTCTTATTTGTTTTCTACTATTTATCTAAGAAGTGGACCTAATAATTACAGCGGGTTGCCACGCGTGTAATAAGAAACAAGTGGTATAACTATTAAACAGTATGCATTGAGCTAATATAAACGATGCTTATTCACTATAACACATCTATTCCGTTTCAATCAGTCAGCGCGGTCGCATCATCAGACGCCTTAATAATAGGATTATATAGCCTTTTTGGGTCTTGCGGTGTTCCAACGATAAGTCCTTCCTCCCCATGAGGAAACAGTATGCGCCGTATGGTTCTGCAGAGTGGTTTGACCCAGCTAAACCATGGAGGAAATTCTTTCATCAAAATGCGCTCAAAGCCGCCAGCTTCCATGTTGCCTCATTTATAAGTTGCAATTTCCTCGTAGTTGCCAGTGTACCATTTCTTGAGCAGACTAGATTCAGGCCTTTCTTGCAGTTGATGAGATGTTTGCGGCGTTTTTAACTCCAAACCGTGATGGGCACATTGCCAGATAAGCATGTAGAAGAACGACTCGAGATCATGCCGATAGGTATGGTCGATATTAAGCAGCACCTCAATCGCCATGAACTCCATCGTGCCAGTCCAGTGCCGCGCACCACTTCGCCCGCTCCCAACATCTTTGGCAAGATCCAAATCGATTAGCATGCCCGAGTGACCGCCCGCCTTGTCTGGATCGGTGATTATTATATTGTTCTCTGAAATATCCCGATGAAGGATATTCCCGTCCAGGTAAAGACACTGATGCGCCTTTATTGCATCGCGAAGCGCCATGAGCAGCTCCAAGGGTGATTCATAACTGTATATCGGCCGCCCAGCAGGCGATATCACTAGACAGCGGAGGACACGGTTTCGTACGGTTCCTCGCCATTCATGTCGAAAAGGCTTGGCTTGTGCGCCGACTGAATAGAGAAAGCTAGTTCATTTCCCTGCTGGGTGTCCCTTGATAGTTGATTGATAACACGCAATCATTTGGACGCCTGCATCCCCTTATCTGGGGATCTGCGTTTCCTGGAAGATGACTTTTGACAGATATCTAAGTGACGCGGCTCGATGACCGGCTGGGATTGATGAAATGAGGAGGGTGTGCTGGGGGCTGCGCTTTTGAAGTTATGGTGCTTGTCATTGAAGGTCAGGCCGCAACGCATGTCGGCGATGCTGGTGATGGTACTGTGACCGATGATCGTTGCAACTCCTTGGACATTCTTTTGGCCTGCTAGCTCGAGGAGTTCCACCTCCGGTCGCTGCTTGTCCGACACCCACGAGAATTTAGCTACGCCTTGTCCATCGTTTGTGAGAAAACATGTGGTCCCGCGACACACGATGGCACGTTGAAAGGAAAGTATTCCACCCAGCTGAAGCACTTTTTCATCTAATGTCCCAGGCCCTTTGAGGGTTATTGATTTGCTTCCGTCTTCATCCCTAGCAATAAAAGTATCAAGTCCCAGTTGCTCATCACTCATCATGGTGTACCTGACAAACACCTGAAAGAACCGTCTCGAGTCCTGGTAGACGTCGATGATGCCGGAGCTATAGGGACCCGAACGGTCGAACACCCACGGCTCCATCTTGGTCCCGCAGACGGCAAACGCGTGGATGAACCGCCGGGTGGGCTGGGCGGCAAAGACTTCACGCACGTAGCAGCTCATCTGCAGCAGAGTGTCTTTGGTCCTGATCTCCTTATTGGATTTTTTGAGCTCGCCAACTACCAGGATATCTCTTCAGTCATGATTGTTTTGCGAGGGGCTCGCGCTGCTAGCTCTCAGAAGGAGGTCAACTTGCTGTTCCACCTTCGAAATGATAAGATCTGCTTTGCTCACAGTGGACTAGTAGGTGCTGCGTGATTGTGAGAGTAGGTCGGTCTTCTTGAAGATGAAGCCACCAGCTGAGGATGTTGTTCTGTGTCGGAGGATCAGGAAACTGGGGCCCAATTACCGTTACTGTCTGGGGATAGCATGCGTTGACAGATGGCATCTGCTTCATCACTCCAGTTTTTCCCCTCAAAATACTTGTCAAAAAAGCCATCAACGTCATGAAATGTGCAGCCACATATCTCCTCAAAGATTCTCAGATTCGCCAACTCACGCGTCTGCTCGGAGCCATTCTGTGATGACGAGGTGGATTTGACTGGTGTGCCCATCGACGGGGGAGGTATGTTCGCTGGAGGGGTTGCTCGCGAGACGGTGGTGATGAGGTTGAGGACGGCCTTCCCGATATCGACGTCAGGCTCCTTCTGGATGACGAGCCGCACCAACGGTTGATAGTGACTATAGTTGAAATCGCCTTTGCGAGCGCGTCCAAGGATATCTACAAGCTCAGACGCTACATTGCGATTACTTATTCCAGACCGAAGGTCAAGAGCTATCTCTTCCCCCAGTAAAACTGTAAGTAAGTTTCGATACTGCCGTTTGGCAAATCCGGCCCCGAGGGTCAGTGGTGGCATTATATACTTGTTCTGCCTCATGAAGTAGATCATGTAGCCGATTTAGTCAGCGGCTTAAAGGATGCTTTGTGATGATATCGCAATCGTGGCGCGAAAGCTCAGCCATACATGATGGATAGGAAGCAACACGGGAACAAAATGCAGAATTGTTAGCAAGTCATGATGTGTGGTAGGACAGTTAGCTGGGAACAAGTGCTGGTATATATATATAGTATCTTATCGGATTGAAGATTATTATTCTGAAGCCAGGCAGGAATATATATAATCAGAGGGAGGATTATCATCAAAGGTTTATCCTGCTTGGCTTTGATGCAGCAGAGCGGTAGAACGGATCGAGCTGCCGAGCAACGAACCGGGTGGAAAATAGGGGGATTGAAATCAAATTGTCAGGAACGTCGGCTATTCCCATTATTAATCGCTAAAGGCATATATTTCTCCATCCCGGGCTGGGAGAAGCTGGTCAGAAATTTCCCATGCGGCCCGTCACTGACGCGATGCATTTTAAGCAGAAAGGGAGATCGCGCAGGGACCGTTGGACGCAAGACCGCAAAGTCGATTGGGTTAGAATTTTCACCTGTCATTTGGCCCTGGAGAGAAGTATATATAGGTTTGTATTCGTAAAACCATATAAATCACACTCCGCAAATCGACTAGAAATTCGTGTCTCAATGTTTCCGCAAGTGTTTAGTCAGGTGTACACGAGTTCGTTAGATTTTCTTAGAGGACCGTTATCAACCTTGTTGCATTGTGTGACTCTAAGCAAGCTAGCTAGCTACTAATAAATACATAGGTGCACGTGACCTCGGGTAGCCGGGGAATTCTCTAACATCCTTCTGTGCTACAGTGAGCCTGAGCTCTGCCCTATCCCCTAGCTGCTGAATGCCCTCAAATCCGCAATAAAAATTAAATACAGGAATCAGATGCTGGTTTCTCTATTAGCAAAAGCTCTATTACACCTCTGTACTGTAACTTTGCAAAGAAAGCACACAATTATTCTCCTAACCTGTATTCTTATTACATCTTCTTAGGGGCTGCAAAACTATGTAAAATCAATCATTCTTATCAATGAGATCAGACCTTCATCAATTCTATTTTCTCCACAAATTCATTGTAAGCTGGCTTTGGCAGAGACTTCATAAATCCATCTGCTTTATTCACTGTAGAATCTATGTGTGAGAGCTTCACCTCTCTCTTCTCAACTAGGTCATGAAGTATATGGTAATGAATTTCTATATAACAGGATCTCTTTGTCAAGGACTCCTTCTTTGTCAGATCAATGACAACTTTATTATTCATTTGCAATGTTGTGCAGATCTTTAACTTTCCTTTCATCAGATCTGCATCTTGCAGCATATTATTTAATCAAATAAGCTCACACACAGTCTCACTAGTGGTGATATATTTTACTTCTGTTGTTGATTATGCAGTTGATGTTTGATGTTGTGAGCATCATGATATTGAGAATTCATTAATCATGATAATATAGTCAGATGTTGATTTATATTAAAAATCTGCATCTGCTCAATCTAAATCACAATAACTAATTGATTATAGATTTCTATTATCTCTTTCATTTTTATAAACTATTCTCAGAGCTTTTATCTTCTTTACATAGTGAAAGACATGCTTTAAGGCTGCTCAGCAGTTCTTATTTGAGCATGAGTTAAATCTTAATAGATAGTTCACAGCAAATGTCAAATTTAACTTTGTACTTGATACAAGATATTGAAGTGATTCAAGTCTCTAACAATATCTAATAGTTGTTAACTCATCTTCTAATTCATTATTTTTCTCTAAGATGAATTCAAGTTGTATACCTATCATCATAGATATGCCAGTAAGGTTAATCTTATTTATCTCAAATTCTTCAAAGATTTCTTCAATATAGTGAGTCTGTGAGACTGCTAAATCATCATTTGATCTGCATTTGATCTTCATTTCAAAATAAAACTTGTCTTCTTCAATATCTTTTATGTCAAATTTCTTTCATATCTCACTAACACTCAATCTAACTCTATCTCTTTAAGGTCTGTAACTTTGCAATCATCAATATACAGTGTTATATAGATTTTGTGAATAGAATGTAATAGAAATCCTTTATCATATTTTGAAATTCTGAATTTCAGTGATATGAGATACTTTGTTATTATAAAATATTAGATTTTTGCAGCTTGTTTCATATCATACAAGCTCTGTTTAATAAGATTCATCAATTTTCTTCTTTCCTATTTAATGTCTATAAATAACTGCATATAGATTATTTCATTCTGTGATAGTATATTATTCAAAAATGCTAATATATAGTTAATCAACTTTGATTTCCAACCTCTGGCAGTTGATATAATGAATAGAAAGTGATTTATAAACTCTAAAACAACTGCAGTATAGAATTTGAAGTAGTGAATGCTTTGCTACTGCAGAAATTCTTTAATCATTCAGCAGACTCTAAAATAAATTATTTTATTTCTATTATTTAACTTACAGTCAAATACTCATTTGTCTATCAAAATATTTATCTTAGATATTTTCTCAATGATAATGTATGTCTTTTTATTCTCAAATATTTTGACTTCTTTTCTTATTATCTCAAGCTAGTAATTTCAATTTAAGGTCTTTTTCACCTCTGTCAGATTATTTGAGTGATTCATAAACATGCTCAAAACAGAATCAGTATCATTAACAGATATTTTAAATTTATTATTCTTGACTAGCTTTGTCTCATTAAGCAGATAGATTGAATCAATGATATTTTTTAGATCATCATTAATTAATATCTTCAGAATCTCTTATTTATCTTTTGCTAATTATTCTAGCAGATAGTGATATAAGTCATTCAAAGAGTTAATAACATCTAATTTCTTTAACAGTTTGATGTCTTCTCTTATCATCTCAACAGCTTCACTTACAGCATTCATAGAAACAGATTCTGTGACAAGATTTTCATCAAAAATAACATCTCTAGCAATCTCTAATTTGCATTCTTTTGAATCTCATATATAGTATTAATGCAATTCTTGATAACTCATCAATTATTACTTCTTATCATCTATTCTGTCTACAAGCTTATTTGTCATTTTCATATTCTTCTTATAAATTTTGTATTCTTATCTGTGAATTCAATGAGCTGATGATTAAACCTGTGAGGACATTTAGAGTAAATGAACTGAGTGTTAGAAGAAAGCGTGAGAAGCTCTATAACTAGAATTATAAAAGGGTAAGTATATAGGTGTGGTGAGCATTACAGAAGAAAGAGGATAGTGACAGATGAAAATATATGTATAGGATTGAATAGTAGCTAATCACTAAATTCCTTCAAGAACTTTGGGGATTCAAAGTGTTTATATACATGAATGAGTAGCAATAGATTTTATCTCTAGTCTTTCATGAAAGAGGGAATTTAGTAATGTAATAGTCTGATTTCTCATGAAGTGCTGATTCTATCCTTCAGGAAGTGCTGATTCTAAAGAACTGATTTTTGAGAAGTGCTGATCTGTGTAGATCTCAAGAGCTGAATCTTGAGATAATGCTGATTCTTTAGAGATGCTGATTCTAAGGTGCTTTGATAAGTGGTGTGAGGAGATAAGCACTTTAGTGAGTAGTGTGGTAAGCAGTGTGAGAGCAAGGAGCTAGTCTAGAGAGTCTTGGCATCACAGTTACCTCCTCTTTCATAGGCGCTGACCTCAGCAGCTATAGAAGATGGTTGTTTATTGATATAGAGGTAAGGTGTAGGCATGAAGTGTTTGTTGATATAGAAGATAACACTTATGACACTTATTCAGTGATGTTGAGGGACTGATTGTGTGAGATGATTGTCATAGGAGCATTTATTGCTATAAGAATGAAGAGAGAAGGTGTTTTTTGCTCTCTGGACTTTTGTTCATTATAGGGCAAAGCTGCTGTGTCTGATAGCAGTGTTGACAGCTTTATCTTGTGCTGCTTGTTCAGTGAAAGCTTATGCTGCTGCCTTAGTTGGTGTTCTTCATCACACTCAGCACAGGGTTGAGGCTGCTGATGCACTGATAGTGTTCTCTGAGAATGAGAAGTGGGAGAATGCAGAGAAAGAAGTTGAGTGTGAAGAGGAAAGAATTACTGTGCCTGAGCAGCATATGATGACTGTGGTGATTATGAATAGAAATTAAATCAGAGGAATTAGAGATGTGCATCTAGGTGCCTTGACTTATCTCCTTAATTTCAGATGATTAATAAAATGAATTTTTCTTGAAGATTTGATGATATTTGATGCCTTACTTGCCTCATTAAAACCACATGATCAAAAAACCCATTTGGGAAAAAGTAGTGAAAAGAGTGCATGTATGAAAAAGGATTAGTACTTAGCATGCTTGCTAGAGTGAGTCCAGTGCACTTGTTGCTGTGATTCCTGTTATTTAAAAATATCAAATGCCTCAGTCTTCTGAATGTTTTCAAGAGATTCTCATGTATCACCAGAAGGTCTATAGCCCTTTCACTGTACATGATATTGTTCTTTACCCTGGTGTTTCTCTTTCTTTAATATCTTTTCAACTTGAAATTCTTTCTTATCATTCACTAGCTCTGGTGCTGGAGGTGGAGTAGTGTCATCCCTCATGTTGTAGAGTTCAAGTAGTGATATGTGAAAGACAGAGTGAATGTTGCACATTAAATATGAAAAAAAGAGTTTATATGTCTGTGTATTCTAAGATTCAATAATTTGGAAAGGGTCAATAAATTTATAATTCAATTTCCTAGTGATACAGAGCATGTGAAAGTTCTTTGCATTGAGGAGCACTTAGTCCCCCACATGAAAGTATTTTGTACTGTGTTTAGAGTCATAGTACATCTTTTGTGCAGTCTTGATCTTCTTCAGTTGTTTTTGAATCTTTTTCTGTATTGCTTGTATTTCTTTGGCCCAGTCAATTGCCTCAATTGAGCTTGAATAAGGTGGGTTACTGACATCAATTCAGAGAGTAGGTCTGTAGCTGAGGAGTGCAAGAGCTGAAACTTCATTGATTGAGCTATATTGTGAATTGTTATAGACAAACTGTGCTAAGAGCAGC